AGAAAAGGTCCTCAGGTTTGATTATTCATTGCTCAAGCAATTCAAACAGTTAAAAAAAGTTTTCTGCTGATTAACAGACTGCATATTAAAAAGATCAAAGATTGGTGTCCAGTCATCTCCTTCTCAACCCAGGATGTGAACCACTGCAGTAAACTACCGTTTCCCACATGCTAAATTCTGACCTTAACACATATGATTAAGCAAAGTGAAAAAAAATGAAACCACAGCCCCCCTCCTACCCCTCACACCAAGAGACCTTGTTGGTCCCCTGATACCAGTTTGGGCGCCACAGTGAAACAAGTCGCCAGTTATTCCCTGTGGATCGAGGCTACTGGTGACATGTCATCAAAATTTAACATAACTGACTACATGTAGAGCACTCTTGTTCTCTTTTTTTCCAGTAATGAAAAAAATAAAGGAAATCCCCTATTTTTTTTTCCCCTTATTCGATCAGCTGTGTAATCACAGCCAGGGTTCCGTTTTGAAACTTTACTAAATGTCCAGGCGGTGGCTGCCTGGGAGTGTTTGTGCTCACGCAGAAGGAAGAACTACTACACGAATAATCTATTTAATTATTTCACTAAAGGTCAGCGGTGAAATCCCTTCAGGTCAAAGCGTGTTAAGAGCAGCTGACCCCCCCGGGTCACAGCAGCAAATATTGAGACGTGGCAGTTAACTAGTGGCGTCAAGACACTGACAAATAGTCAGACAGCTTCCGTTCACGACTTTCAAAATAAAACGACTGGCAGCGGAAGTTTGTTGGAACTCATAGGAATGAAAGTCGTTGCTTTTAATTTGAATACAGGAAAGGCTTTAACACCCATTTTATTTGAGAAATGTCTGGTAACTGACAATTGGAAAAACAATTGCTTGCAAAGAGTTTTTGCTGTGAAAGACACTGTCATGCGATTAAACGGTCATGTAGCTTTGCTACCCAAGTCAAGTGTTTAGGTTTTACCCAGATTCTAGAAACTTAAAGACAAGACAAAGGGAAACTTTCAACATGTAAAGCAATAATACGAAAACGCTGTAGTTTGTGCACAGCTGCTTTTTTAAACCCGTTTCCTCCTACCTTGAGAGCAACGCATAGATTGTTACTTTGACTGCGACCAGAGCAACATTTTTTTCCTTCCCCAAACTTGTAAAATTTAAAACACAAAAACAGCACGAACGACAAACCCGCGAAACTGATAACAGCTAAATTAACAGGCAATCTTATGAGCAACCGTTTCTACAAAGCGGGAATCGCTTTACGTGGGATTTCAAGTTAGAGCTTAGAGTTTGCCGCAGGCTTTGCCATCTTAAAACAGCTGAGGGAGACGAGAGAAGGAAAAAAGGAATGCGAGTTCATCTCACCTCAAACATCAGTCCAATCAGAATGAAAATCACCAAACCGAATACGATGTCAGCATGGTTTTGAATTAAGAACTCCTGGCTGAAGAAAGGATAGCTCTTATTTCTTCGGCGAAATGCCATGTCAACACAATGGACTTTTCCCTTCTGTTTTAAAAATCAGAATTTTTCTGACTACGAAGTTCAGTGAGTTAACTTTCTCGGCGACGTACGCATGCGCGTCGTCTTAAAGGGCCAGAGCCATAAATACCTTCTTTGGGTCGATTTACACAAAGTTAGATTCAGTCTGCCTTGTCAGACTCATTATAACCACTTTTGCAGCTGCATGCAGAATTGGCATAAAATGTTGTGCAAAAGTCTTGAGCTATCCCTGTTTTCTTTGTATTTTGCTTCCAAGGAGCCATATTTTCTTGCATCATTTGGTAAATGGTAAATGGCCTGTATTTGTATAGCGCTTTACTAGTCCCTAAGGACCCCAAAGCGCTTCACACAACCAGTCATCCACCCATTCACACACTGGTGATGGCAAGCTACATTGTAGCTACAGCCACCCTGGGGCGCACTGACAGAGGCTGCCGGACACTGGCGCCACCACCAGTAGGCAACGGGTGAAGTGTCTTGCCCAAGGACACAACGACCGAGACTGTCCAAGCCGGGGCTCGAATCGGCAACCTTCCGATTACAAGGCGAACTCCCAACTCTTGAGCAATAGTTTTTCCGTGTTCTCTGAAGGTCTTTAAAGTTTTTCACTCATTTTCATTATCAAACTGTTTTCAGAGGAATGTAGATAACAGAAAACTAAGCAAAGAACCTAGTTTAAATTGTATCTTTAGGGACTTTGTTACTAGCAGCCTGCGTAATTTGCTCCTTTAGTTTCTTTAGTTTAAATCTAAAAATAAAAAATAAAAAATAAAAAAAGGCAACGACAACATAGTGGACAAAATTGTATTTTTGCAGCAACAACATGATTCCCAAAGCCTTATTAGTGTTGGCTTTGGCACATGTTGATTTATGTGCAGTATGTTCTTAAATAAATCTGAGGACAAATAGAGGACAAAAGAATCTCCAGCAGATGAAGTGTATCTGAATGTTATGCCCTTAAAGAGGTGGGGTGGAATTCAACACAGGACTTAAGAGATGAATCAGGCCCTTCAGCGGATCCATCTACAATTCAGTTCAGTTCAGTTGCCTCAAGGCACTTTATATTGTGAAGTAAAGTGCCTGTAATTATAAGAAAGACATGCTGTGGAATGGAGCCAGAGATTAATAATAACTATTGATTACATGCAGAGTGGTGTATAAACACATAGTGAGTGAAAAAAGGGTGAGTGAAGAAGAAACACTCATCATGCATTATGTCAAGCCCCTGCAGCTGAGACCTATTGCAGCACAACTAAGGGAGGATTCAGGATCACCTGATCCAGCCCTAACTATATGCTTGATCAAAAAGGAAAGTTATAAGCCAAATCTTAAAAGTAGAGAGTGTCTTTCTCCTGAATCCAAACTGGAGCTGGTCCCACAGACGAGGCGACTGGAAGCTGAAGGCAGTGCCTTTGCATTCTGCCCCCATTCTACTTTTAACCACAAGTAAACCAGGAGTCTGAGCGCAAAGTGCTGTGTGGTCTTTAAGATAAAATGGGACCTGATTATACAAGGTCTTGAATGTGATAAGAAGGATTAGGTCATCCTGATAATAATGAATTACAGTAGCCCAGCGTAGAAGTAATAAATGCATGAACTAGTTTTTCAGCATCAGTCTGAGGTTGATGGTTCTAGTTCTAGAGATACTGAGCAAATGGAAATTCTGGTCAACAGTGACTCCGAGTCCTCAGTGTTACTTGAGGCCAATGTTTTGGGTTTTTTCTTTTTGTTTTTTTAACCTTTATTTATACAGGTATGCCCATTGAGATTTGATGTCTCTTTACAAAACACAACTCTTTCGGACAAACACATTAAAATTGCATTCAATAAAAGAAACAATAAAAGAAGCAATAAAACGTAATGCCATCTAGAGTAAGCATCATGTTACGTACCATATTTCAAAGCGTTTTAGGGCTGAGTTCAATAACCTCAGTGTTATCTGAATATAGGAACAGGAAATTCAAGGTCATCCAGGTATTCATGTCTTTAAGACATTCCTGCAGTTTAAGTAATCTATGTGTGTTATCTGGCTTCGAGGATAGATCAAGTTGGCTATCATATGCATAGAAGTAAAAACATATGCTATGCCTTCTAGTGATACTGCCTACAGAAACATATACGTCATTGTGTAAAGATGACACACCATTTACATGAACAAATTGGAGACTATTAGATAGATATGATTCTAACCACTTTAATACCTAAAGCATGCTCCAATCACTGTAATAAAATATTAAGGTCAACCGTATCGAATGCAGCACTGAGATCTACCAGGACAAGCACAAAGATGAGGTCCACTGTCAGGGACCATAAGATCTTTTGTTACCTTCACTAATGCTGTTTTTGTACTGTGAGGCATTCTGAAACCTGACTGAAACTCTTCAAATAAACCATTCCTTTCAGTTCGCTGACTCAAGAACTTTTGAGATAAAAGGAAGGTTGGTGATTGGCCTATAATTAGCTAAACAGCTGTGTCGAGGGATGGCTTTTTAAATAAAGAATTACTTACTTGAAGCCTACAGCCTACAGTGTCTACAGCCATTTGTAAAACATGGTGGAGGTTCTGTCATGATTTCGGGCTGTATTTTACTCAGTGGTGTTGGAGATCCTGTCAAAAGAATTTTGAACACAGAAAAATACCGATAATGATTTACTATGCAATCCTAGAAAGCATCTGATTGGCAAGAGCTTAATTTTTCAGCATGACAATGATCTCAAACACACTTTCAGTGCAATAAAAGCATAACTGGACAGAAAAAAAACACAATAAAACACTAGCAGTGTGGGATCATCTTGACATAAAACGGAACAAAAGGCAGCCAACATCCAAAGAAGAGCTTTGAATGTCCTTCAAGAAGCCCGGAGAACTATTTCTGAAGTCTCCTTCAGGAGCCTAAATTCCAAGAAAGCTTGCCTAAGATAGCTGGCCATCTCAAATGTTAACTTCAAAGGTGATTAGAACTGTAAAGAAACGAGTTCTTTCCCCACTTTATATACTATATTTCCATGGATGTTTGCATGTTTCAATAAATACTAAGCGATGGTTGGGTCAAGACTGCACATCACCGTACTTTGCTCAAAAGAATAAAACACTCGACACATCTTCACTCCACTCACCTAAACGTGTATTGTATTTATTGCTTATTCAGAGCCACCAGTGGCTTTACACTTCACAGTTCAAAATGTCATATAGGCAGTCAGCTGGGCATGAGAGAAAACCCAGCATAATTTCACTGCTTTGTTAGTGGACTTTAATCCTGTTACAGAACACAATAAGGGGCAAAGTACATTTGGCCCCTGCCAATAGTAATCAAGAGCACATACAAAAAAAAAAAAAAAAAATCACCACAAATATCTCATAAGCATCTTTTCACTTTGTTGCAGAACATATGAAAGCTTTGAGACGTTAGTGCCTGAGACATTGTTTCATTTCCAACAAAACGTAAATTGCAAAAACAATTCCGCAATTACATGGTCAACATGTAAATCAACACATCAAACAGTTTCCCTAGGCCCACACACCAGCCCTGCTCAAAGCGATGCCTGTTAACATCATACAAAAGATAACCTATCTGAGAGTCAAAGTGTCAGTTTTTTGTTTTGTTTTTTTGATAAAAAAAGAAGAAGAAGAAGAAAAAAAAATCACAGCATCACAGCAACAGACATATGATACAGAAGATATTTGTGCTTTTAGGAAGCCAAAAGGCTCTGGCTTATAGTGAGATGGTTATGATTCAGAGGTCAGACACTCCGGCCATTGAAAGATACAGGATTAGTTTCTCTATTTTCATAGCTGCTGGCAACTGACATGAGTAACAGCAGTTTTAGTGCGTATTAAAGAGATCATCCCCCTTTTTAAGATCATGAAGCATCTGCGTACTTGATGATGTTTATTGATACAACTAATGCCTACTTCCTTATTACGTAGTTTCGGTCTTGACCGACCGGTGTTCATTTTGTTGCACAGTATAATTGTTATTATTCTTGAGGCTTAAGTTCACTGTGACCAAAAGAATGAAAATGCCAGCTGAACATCAGGCAGAAGGTGTGTCTGAGCTCTACACACAACCTTTGTGGTAAATGAGCTCTACTGAAGGCTTTACTCTGTGTCCGGCTTTTGGGCAAAGGAATGCTTTTGTAGAAAAATCGTTTATGCTTTGAGAGGATTACTCCACAATTGTTGCATACGCCCCACAGTGTACTAAATATATGTGTATACATAAAAGGAGAAATTACTGCCAGCTTTCTAATTCTACAATGCTGGACTGCTGAAAAAGCACTCCCTTTAAAAGCTGGTGTACTCCTTTAATGTTGGATACGTTTTTACTTCTTCCCTGATTCTGTCACATGTAAGCTAAAAGTTTTCATCCTCATCCCTTCGGGATAATATGAGCTGCTTTCTTGGACCTTTAAGATGAGGGACACTGGAAGGGGAGTCTAACACCCCTGAGTCCAATTTAGGGGTGGAAATACATCGTGGTCCAACCCGGCCCATGAGTCCACGGACATCTCTGTGAAGGGCTGGATCACTAGGGATTGAGTTGAGGCGAACGCCTTGCTCCAGAGCCCCAAGGTCCCGGTCCAAACGGGGGTTACTGGCGCTGCTTGGAGATTGGGGATCGGCGCTGAAGTATAAGGTTGAACTTGATTCTGTAGGGCAGAAATAGGGCTCTGGGCTGTCTCCAAACATTGATTTACCCTCTGGTGAGCTGCGTTTGAAATCCGATGTGGGCGACTCCATCGGGCTCTCCATCTCCAGACTGTCGTCTTCTTCCGGTTGTTCAGTCGACGTGGGTTCGCTTACGCTCTGGAACTCGTCTTTACAGTCCGAGAGGGGTGCCAGACCTTTCCCCTGAGACTCGGAGGTGGAGACACCCTCACAGCTTCCTCCAGCTGTAATTGTGATGCCCTCGTTACTTTTAAATTCTTGGTTGTACTCCTCTATGTCTAGTACGGCCGCTGCTCCCCCAGCCCCATACGCCCTGTTGATTTTACCAAGATCTCCTGTTTTCAGAGCAAGGCGGATCAAGAGCCAGTGGTGATGGTAACACGGACAGGAGCTGTTAGGCCTGCCCCCGCAGTTCCCTGGATGCTCCAGCAGAGAACCAGCAACACCTGAGAGGGAGAAGCTGCCATGGTTTTGAATAGAATGAGATGGCAAACTTTTGTCCCCAAGAGAGAAGGAGGACTCCCCTTGTTCTATGCATGTACTGCCCATGTGGTTGTGGTTTGTTCCCTGGGAGATCTCTGTGGACTTGGGGTGCAGGAACCGGTAGTATAGGACAAGAGAGGTAGCACCTAAGAAGCAAAGGAATAGGAAATATAAATATTTAGTGGCCCAGGTATGTTTTGGTCTTTCACAAGCAATTAGCTGACTGCACAGTCTGAATCACAGAGGGAGGCTGCAGCAGAGATCACAACAGCCACTCTGGCTGTTACTATATTAATTCTATCGTGCATATCAACCTCACACACAAAATTCAAGGTTTCACTTATTTTTTGCCTTCTTACGATCCCATCTCCACTCTTACGTATTCAGATAAAGAGATTTACAATATCCTGCACAGTAAAATCTCACATATAAAGAGTATTGCAAGTAGGGCAGCATATCGGTAGCTATGTTTGTTGTACAACAATACCTCTAAGAATTTGTGAATAAACACGGGGGGATTTATCACTTAGGTATGACAGAAACTAATAAACAGTGTGACATCATTCTAACTATGACTAATCTCCCAATACAAACAGCAAATTCTCTAGAAACAAATGACTCACCGAGGAGAAAGCCACACAGCACAGTGGTGGGAAGGGTCATGCTGTCCCATGATGCTTCGCTCAGGAAGTCAGAGGCGGCCAGCAGCAGAGTGGCGTTCTCTACAAGCATGAACTGAAGAAGGAGAGAAGGTCGCACCATCAGTCATCTGTAGACAGCTTTACGTCACTGTGGGCTTAGCACACAGAGGTGAGGATGACATTGCAAACTTATGTATCTATATCTGTTTGTCCCTGCTGCCCTGTGAGTAGGCAGATGAGACAAAGCTGCACAAAACAACATAATGAAAACAGAAAAAAAAAAAGAAAAGTTGAAGAATAATAACTTTAACTCGTGCCGTACTGCATAAAAACTGGCCATGCGGAAGCGCGAGGGTCCATCTTTGATGTTGAGGAAGAGGAAGACGTGGATGAGCCCCATGACGCCATTAAAAGCACGCCAACACCAGGGGCCGGTGCAGATGTCTGGTTGCTGTGATACCAGCCAAAAGGAGGCCGTGAGCCAGTGAAAACCTGAAGGTCAACATAAAAATAGAATAGAAGGTCTACAAGTGCAACACAGGATCCATATACAGTGTGCAACGCTGATGCAGAGGCGAAACAGAAAACTGGATCAAGAGGACATGTCACAGTGCTCTGAGGATAATTACATAACTCAGAGGTTAAATGTGAGTTAATAGAAAATGGGGTTTTTTAAGCTCAAAGGAATTTCACATGGAAATCTGTGCGTGTACTAGTCATTGAGTCTCCTGGACCCTTTAATGTAATACTAGTTTAATATAACTGTGCACTTTCTCCGGCTTTCAAGTGTCTTAACAAAATAAAAGTCGCTTCTCAGTGCTCACCTGCTACTCCACAAACCCACCAATTAAAAACCCTGGCAAAGAATGTGAGGCAGGTCACCCTGGCACCCAGCATGCATGCCCTCCACACCAGCTGGCACAGCAGGGCTGCTGGAGGCATGGCCAGGTGGCCTGGTCTTATCAGACAGCAGGCTCGGCTGTACAGCACCAGGGCCCACGCAATAGACAGCACACACAAGCCACAGCAATACGCCACTGTAGATAAAACATGCATAAAAAAAAATGTAATATAACAAGTTACAGGCCATAAACATCACACGGATCCCGTGATTCAACTGAACATAAAATTACCTGGTGATGCGATGCCCACATCAGTAGACACCACGATGTACGCCTGCAGCAGGCTCTGAGGCAGCGTGAGGACAAGGGCTTCCAGCAGCCAAAGGGCAGCAACATCTGCCTGCTGCATAACAGCAGCTCCCAGATCAGCCACTGAGCCCTGCATGCGCAGCACAGACCTCATGCAGTCCCACAACCTGCCAGAAGATGGAGACAAAAACCAGAGGAGGCATAAAATATAACCGACTCAGTAAGGTTTCAGAGTGATGTGAATTTTTTGGTTTTTTTGCCCTGTACTTTAACAAAAACTAAAAATTATTACATTCTATAAACATAGTCTGCTTTTGTAATGTATCTACGTAAAGTACATCGAATGGAAAAAACGAGCTTACCTTTTGAAGATGCCCAAGTGCAGGATGTGTATAACAGAGAGGTAGCATCGCCTGTCATCACCATCATCATAGTACCACTTCACACTTAGCAGCTGAACTGCTGTCCCCGGTAGAAAGAGGCCAAGTGTGAGGCCTGCCCACTGTGTCTCCTCATTCCAAAGGTAAAACCCTATACAGTAGATCACTGACACACAAACACACACAGAAAAAGAACAAACACCCAGATGCACAATGATATCTTCTAATGGGATGGCGCAAGCTCACAGAAAAGACACCAGAGTCATTCCACACCACTTTAAAACAGCCATTAGCTGTTTCTTAGCTTCACTGGTACAGCTTTATCAATGTGCCACTCTACTGATAATCTAAATAGCCATTCATTTATGCACGCATTCACTTTTGAAATTTTTAATTATGGCAGAATGTCTAAAGTGTGAAGCTCAGGCAGCAGCACAGTATTTTTATCTTCTGGTAATGATATACTTGCTGAAGACAAAGTCACACTCTGTACACATCCAGGTATCCTCCTGGTGTCCTGACCTTGCCCCATTGATCTGCACAGTCAGGAAATCATAACGCTGTGCTGCACCTTGTTTTCAATACAGATCCTAGATGTGCAAAAAATGACTTGGGAAAAACAAGTGTTTATTGTGTTCAATCATATTTTGGGGGAGGTGTAAGGTGGAGAATTATAATTTAAAAGTTGGGCATTATGCGAATATTGATCAGCGACGGCAATTTAGTAACACTTAATTAAAGTCACTAGTTAAATTCAATAACTAATAGGCTGTGTTATCCTGTTTTACGATCACAGGAGGTCTCGGGGGGCCCAGTTTGGCCAACAAAGGTGGACTAACCAACGCCGATATTGGATTGCAGTGCACACGGAATTCAGCTATGTTTTCCCGTTCAGTACTAACGGCTGTGCCATAGCATCTCCCAAATGTGCTTCTTCTAACGTGAAGTACGGCCGCAGCTGAGACGGCTCGAGCACGTAGCATTATTTTCAATCACATTACGGCAAAAGAAAAGAAAAAGAAAGCCCAACATCTATTTTCCACGAGGTTGAGTTTCAACACGGCAAGCAAGCTAGCAGCACGCTAGCGCTTGGAATCCCCACTTACGAGCGCTCCGCTCGGCCACAATAACCAGCCCCGACACGGCGAGCAGGACCGCCTGGCACCACGCTATCCAGCACCCGCTCCGCCGCGCCGCCGACGGTATCCTGCGGGCGACCGCTCCTGCGGCGTTTATCATGATGCGGATAGGTGGGAAGGAGGACACACCGATGACATTATCCTGGGCATCCTTTGGCCCCCGCTTGGTACATCCGCTCTCCTCCTCCTCCTCTTCTTCTTCTTCTTCTCCCGCTGCCTGCCCCCTGTCAAAATATCTGACGTCACAGCACGGTTTAAAGGTGCATCAGTTTAGCGAGCCTCTCCTCCCTCCACCGTGGAAACCTCTTCTGCATCACGGTCTATTTCTTCAAATCTTTTGTAACGGCGGTGCTGCATCTTACTTGGTAGACTGGTGATAGACGGCAGACTGATCTGAGCGTGAATTTCCTCGCATGTGGAGGTCGCAGGTCACGGTGAGCGCTGTTTACAGCTGTGGCTCTGGTGCGTTTTTTGTCTGCCATGCCCGACTTTAGAACAATAAATAAAGTTCATCCCCCACATCACACCGGTGCACATCTCTGTGTCCTTTATAATCGGGTTTCAAGGGGCCAAAAGCAGAAAAAGCTCCCATATTATGTGTGTTAACGCTGTCTAGGCCGAATAGTGTTTTCTATTTTGGCACTTGATCGTGACTTAACCTTAAGAGTACACCAAATCCGAATGTTTAGCCCTAAGATAACGACTTCTGTGGAAGAAGACTGCAGTTGCTATTCATAAGCAGGACTTGTGTTACTTGTTGACTCTGACTTGCTTTATTTATTAATTAATTTATTTTCTACTTTATGTGCTTTCATGTTATATTTGTTTTAACAATTTTTTGTCATTTTGAAAAAAAACCCAACAGGTTTTAATCTAATGGGGCTTTCTGGTAAAATCAAGTTTTAAATAATAAACACTGAATAAAAAGGAAGATTTAATTTCAATTAATTGAAGGTCATGACAACAGCTGGAGTCTTTCTTTAATCGTTCATGCACCACTTACAGTAGTTCTACGCCCCATATTTCGAGGACTGTGTCACGATTGTGTCATTTTGAAAGCCATTAATGACACCTACTTGACCCACCACTTCTTTAATTTACTTTCTTAAATGGAGAAAAAGCTCCAGAGCAGTTTACAAGAGCCCCATTACCTCATCATCACTCGCATAAATTGGCACTTTGTTTTTAACCCTTTCCACAACTACACTATTTTAGGTTGTAGTAAAAGAACCACAGAAGGATACTGGATAGAAAATCCTGTAATAATTCTTGAGTATAGCAAGTATAGCTGTGTTAATATAGAGATATGGTTGCAGTTTTATTCACAAGCCTGCGCTGTACGAATCAGCGTTCATTGTGAATAAAAGTAGTCATCTTAAGTCTGTTTTGTTCTCTTTGTTTGAGTTTTAATTTATTTATATGTCTTACTAAAACTGTGGAGTCACACAGTGTGAGTGAAATGTCTGACAACTGCCTAATACCAAAACTCAAATATAGATATACGTGTATAAAATTATTCACAGGATATTGATCATGAAGATAATCTTGTTCAATTTTGTGTGTGTGTGTTTTGTTTTTTTTTTCCTTCCATGATGACGGGTTGGTATTTACTGGTTGTGAGTATCCCAAGACTCATAACAGGATGTTTATCTGCAACTCCGATTCAGAACTGTATACTCACCCAGAAGGCAAGTTGAGGTTTCTTTTTGCTGTCATTTCAGTGCTTAACCCACTTACATTATGAAGTCATGCTTGTACAGTAATAGTTACGTGAATCACGGGACACAATTACGCATACATACACAAACAGAAACATTCAGTCTCACGCTAAAAAACACATTTTAAAGCAAGCATCTTTGTTATTTTTAATGCATAATCACATGTGTAGTTGTTCCATCAAGACATTCCAGAGATATAAAAAATCAAAATATCAAAAAATGTGTTGTTTTTTTGTACATTTTAGATTAAAAGTAATTGAATAAATTAACAAAGATCTATACATTTAATAAAAAACAGTCACTTTTTCCAGGCCAGGCTGGTTAAGTCTAGATTTTTCACATGCTGCGGTCTACGTAGAGTATAGGCTAGGAAATCCATGATTGAGATAAGGCTTTACTTCAAATAGGGCAGTAACAGACAGCTGCTGAGTTGACCTGTAAGGATTATATGGATGGATTAGCAGGGCTGTCTTAGGGCTCTGATATGCAGCTTGACTCCAGCTTGATGCTGGCTGGATGAAGAGGTACAGGACTGCTGTGATGCAGCTGAACACCCGAGCGCTCTTTTGCTGATTTGTAGTTGGTTCTCTCAGCCTCCCCTCTGTCAGCATCCCGGTGGCCCGAGACACGGGTCTCTATCTTCTGTATTAGGTCGGTAACATTTCCCTTGTCCATATCAACCTCTGCAGCCATGGCTTCAAGCTCCTCTGCCGCCTCACTCATGTCAAACCTCTCAATCTCAGAGTTAACTCGACATAGCTCCTCTGACGAGTATCTGTGTGAGGCCAGGGGCAAGAGTGGGCAGAAGCCTTGGAGGTGCACTTGGAGGCTGCAGTAATGGAGATAGGAACAGGGGCAGTGAGGACAGCGGTGTGGTCGCTCGCCAGTGTGGAGGCGCTTGTGGAGTTTGAGGTGGATGAACTGAGTAAAGCGAGCAGGGCAGAGCTTGCAATGGTAAGGCTTCTCACCTGAGTGTAGCCGCTGGTGGGTCTTCAAGTTACTAGTGCTGCTGAATCGCTTGTGGCACACCTATGTAAAAACACAGCAGAAGGGAATCTCTGTATGAGTCTTCATTTTGTTCTTAGTCACATAACCTCTGCGATGTTTCGATGTTTTGTTTCTGACGTACAAACCTTTAGTCCACCTACGTATTTATTACGAGAGTGATATAAGGCGTCTAATGCTTTCCAGCAATTTCCGACAGCTGCAGCCTTACCTTGCATTCATGGGGCTTTTCTCCTGTGTGAACCAGGTAGTGTTTCTGCAAGTGTGCTAGCTGCGTGAAGTTCTTATTGCAGGTCTGACACCTGAAGGGACGCTCCCCGCTGTGTACTCGCAGATGAACCTGAGAAGATGTCGGATATATGATAATTTATTTGTTATCGATCAAACTCAGGAAATCAGAGGAACTGGTTAATTCAATTATACTATACTCCAGTCACTGTATTCAACTGGTGGTTGTCATTTTCTTTCGCACTGCTTTAATGTGTTGAAGAGCAACTAACCTTAAGGTTAGACAGCTGCCCAAAGACCTTTCCACAGATGTTGCATTCATATCGGATCTTTCCATTCTGCCTCATCAGAGGGTAAGACAGGGTCTTGTAGCCAATTGTCTGCCCACTTTGCTTTGTCATGCTTAGGTCCATTGTATCCTCAGCTTCACTTTGAGTGGCAGAGGTAAAATTGGAAGGGAGGCAGTTTGAGGAGGCTGCCATTCCCTCTTGCGGCGAGCATCCTCCAGGTGTGAGAGACGGCTGTGCTTCACGGTTTTTAGTGACCATAGATGAGGCGGTGGATGTGGCAGGCACAGCGAGGTCTGTGTGAACGTTGGTGGGAGGGGAGTGTTTGAAATCTCTGAGGTCGTGTGAGGGTATGCTGAGGTAGGCTCTTCTTTTGGATATGAGGTCCTTGTTGTCTCTGTGCTCACGGATTGGTGAAAGAAAGAGGTCTGGTTTGGAATCAGAAAGTGCACGTGTCAAGTCTTTGCAACCACTGGTTAAAGGCGATTGAAAATGTGCATAGTTGTGAAAGGGCGATGCATGGGGTGAGACTGCCAAGTGAGGTTTCAGTTGCTCACGATAGAATGGATATGAATGAGGTAGAAGGCCAAGTGAGTAGTGGGGCAGTAGATAGGGGCCGTGCATTAGAGTAGAATTAGCAATATCGGGCATACGGGGATCTTGGTAAGGCTTTGCTACGGGAGGGCCTTGACTGTGCTGAAAGGCAAAGTGGACATTAGTAGGGACAGGAATGCTTAGTGCTGGCCTTTTGGCAGTTGGAGGGCTACAGGATGGCAGAGGTGGTAGAAACGCATATCTATTAGCATGCATAGATTTGGAGATAGGCTGAGGTGGGTAGACAACACTGGGACATAAAGGAAAATCTGCTGAGACATTTGTCTGAGGCAAAAAACTGTCCACACGTCTGATGCAGGTAGAAGGGGATTTGGAGAGGTCGTCTTGTAGGATTTCAGAGACCGTATGACCTCGTTTCCTTGTCTTCTTCGCTGGACTCTGTTCTGTTAGACAGATAAGCAATAGAGAAAGATCATCAGAGACATGAAACTCATTTCTTAACATAGACTAGATGTAACGTTATCATCGTTCAACTAACTGACACATGCAGCCATACAAGCACATATTCGTCTTATCAAGCACACGTGTTGTATGTTTTCTTTCTTAATCACTATGCACGTTTGCTTTCAAAAGTACCTACGCTAGCCAAACAATTTACTTTAAACTTCAGGAGATGCACTTTTTTTTTATCAGATGCGACTGTTTGAATGTCCCTGACCTTTGCACTCTGTTAAAGTGGAAACCAGAAATGAAACAATGGGGATCTGATCATGATACAGATAGCACAGAGAGCAAGAGTCAGTGGATACAGTGTGCTATTTGCATTAGAGGGCTGGACAGTTGAAGGTGTATTTTCTGTCACAAGACAGACAGGATACACAGTGTACAGGAGACAAAAATCAACTTGTCATTTGGAAGTGACAAATAAACTACAGCTCCCAAACAGATAGAAACGATTTTATAAATTGGATTGAAAATCTGGATTGAAATTTGCATTTCATCTAGGTAAAAAGGTACTGCTTCACTGACTTTACCACAGAATAAGCAAGGGACTCAAACCGACAACAGAGAGGAAGACCAAATACATTGGTTTGCATGTACATTTCACCTACTTTTAGACACAATTAACCCACAACCCACACAAACAGCACATCTCTTATCTTTTGTTCACTCCCAGGTTACCCTGCCCCCACTCCAGGGAGGCCAGCTCTCAGCAAACAAACAGCCAAAACTGAGTGAGATATCAATCTGTCAGCAGGTCACCTTGTCAGGAAGTTCAAGTAGTCAGTAGAGAAATTCCTACCTCGCTTCCTCCTTAAGAACCAAATAAATAAAGGGTGTCGTGCCAGAGTGCCATCAGCACCTCTAGCAGCCTCTTTTTGTGACTGTGTTTGAATTAGTATTTTTCTGCGTGGTCTTTCTGCTAGCATGCACATTCCTACTGTTTGTGAATGAATGCCAAATGCTGTCTGGCTGAATGAGCTGCCGGCAGCCTTCTATGTGGGAGTTTAAAAGGGAAACTGAAACATTGCTTAAAATCCTGAAATTGGTCTCATCTTACGCCAGTACTGCTGCTGCACCTGGAGACAGCTCTTCTCTGCTTTCAAGTCTCCACTATCCTCCTTTGTCTTCTGCGTCAACAAAGGAGCTATGGGTGTGACGGAGTAAGTTCTTAAACACGTACACAAAGAGTGTGTCAGTCGGCTGGCGTTTTGACTGGGGGCCTTACTTCACAATGACAGAACAAACCAGATACGTCTCGATGCGTGGGCACCGTGTTAGTTTCTGTTGACTTCAGCAGCACTCGGTCCTTGCGCATTCCTAAATTGACAACACACACAAAAACACACGCACTCACCGTTTTTGTCAATAGCCAGCTGTCCCAGTGGAGGGTAGTTACAACGCTGGGCAAACTCAGAGCAGTACCACACCAGAAGCTCCTGGCCTGGCTGAAGTCGTTTGGTGGTGTAGAAAAAGATGTCCAAGCCACTCTGGCATGCAACCAGGTTCTGCTCTTCCACAGAGCATGCTGGATTGACGTAACGCATCCAGTTGCTCCGCTCTTCATGCAGCCCATCCAGAATGTGGTGTAAGCGCCCCTCTGAGAAGACCTATAGCGTGAGCAGAACAAGAGATCAGAAATAATTCACTTGATTATTAGAAGTGAACCTGAAACCATGAAGTCACAGTTTCCTCGCGCCTTTATGGTAAATGCTGTAATTTCTTTCATGTTGGATAGGCGCAAGTCTTTGCAGCACACAATATGAGTTACAAAGGGAACACTCAAAAAGAATTTCTCTGTATGACTGGATTGTAGTATTGGGTATACTGTTTCACCCACTCCTTACTCTCACCTGTTACATTCACGGTGAAGTTATTCACCTCCTCCCTTCCTCTGCGATTGTACAAAAGTGTTCTTTCTGTGCTGTTGCTTGAGTCATGGCTGTATTATTAACAAATTGTCAGACTGTTGCAAAATTTTGGTTGGAGTTGCATGATGTCAAGGTTGCTGAGTGTATGCTATAGAATTACTCAAGAGCATGTGTGCAATGGAAGATGCCCTGATGCTGCTGAATGTGTAACATAAACAGTTCTCAGGCTTGAAGCCACTTCCTTGCTTAGTCAGTGTGAGAGTTTGTTAGTTTGGAGAAGTGCGGACATATGTATGGTGTATTTACTGGCAGTGATACCACTACTGTGAGAAGCGAAGACACAGGAGAACCGCTGCGTCACTGAAACCAAACAGCTGTGTGTGCTTGTGCGTGTGTGTGTGTGTGTGTGTGTGAGAGAGAGAGAGAGAGAGACAGAGAGAGAGAGAGAAAGACCTCAGACAGAAGCGCACAGAACGGGCAAACACACTGACATATATGGTGCATGCACTTTTGAAAGCTATCAAGTCAAATGGCATTTAAAAACACCAGACCATTGACAAATTTGACTCATACATTGACAGGATGTCAGACGTTGACCACATTTGCTAACTCGTGCCACGACATAGCCAAAGCAGCATCTCCAGTCAGTCAGAGATACAGGATGTGAACAGTTCTGAAAGGCACATCGTTGAATTTAACATTTAAGTTTGCAGAGTCTCACATGAGGCTTGCTTACCCTCCAAAAGTACTTCCTGTCGGCGTCTTTCGGCAGAGTTTCGTTGGTGTAGCTCTCCCCCACCAAAGGGCCAAAGCGTGTTCCCTTCGGAATGATCTCCTTAGTCATCACCCCAAGCACCTGTTAAACAAAGAGAGCACATAATCGTCAAACAGCAGGTCAGTTAATAAAACAGAAGATCTGAGCGAGCAGTTAAAGGCACGTTTAGTTGTTAAAACATCCTAAGATAGATGAGATTCTTTGGAATACAGCCTCCAAAGAATCTGGTCAATTCACTGAATATTTTTGTCCCCTGGAGACACTTATGTGGAAAAAGGCAATTAAGCAGGTTGTCCTTATTTTATAATATACAGGCTGAGAGGATTTTCAGAGGCTGTGACTGAATGTTTTCTCTCCTTCACATGTTAAATATTTAATAAGCCAATCGACCAAGTTATCTTTAGTTTCTCTCCCATATTAAAATTTCACTACTAGTCTTGTTCTGCTACTACCAGGTGTGAAACTCAGTCCTCTGTCTCAGTCCTCCAGGGTGGGGGAGAGTGGATAAGGTGTCATGGTCACACCCCAACTAGCACCTTGAGCTCCATGTTCAAAAAGCAAAAGCCCTAAAGCGATGGTAGTGTATTTCTCTTTCATCTTTACACTCAGGCCTACAGTTTTGTCTTTAGTTTATCCAGATATTTTTGTCCTTGCATTCAATGACTTTGTCTAAAGGCATCATTTGACTTGCCCTTGTGTCACAGATTACTGTCATGTATCCTGTTCTTTAGCGTCAACCAGACATTTCTTATAAGAAGGTCAAAGTGGTAAATGCAGGTATTTTACTGCAGATGTCAGGGATACTTCCTCTGATCTCCCTTCCCTACACTTTTTGTAGAGGAAATTTAGTGTTTCCTTTTCATGACTAGTTCTTTGCGGTTAACCTTTTATCATGCATTTACCACACTATATGATTGTCAGTTCCTTATCCACTCACTTATTTATAGATGAGAGGATGGAAATAATTCTCCATGCTAGATGACACATATTTTACCTGGAAGAACATTTAGGGTATTATGTATATTATGGGCTTTTGCCTAATGGTGTAATTTTCTGCTGGAACAAAGGGATGGGAATCTAAGATAACTACTAATCATAGAGCCCTCAGGCTGAGTGCCCAGAGGCTTGGCTATTGTGTCTGTGTTTGCTTCAACATACACATAGCAGAGAGGAAAAGCTCAAATTAGACAACAATATGTCAAGTACTTCCCACCGGAGGATAGATGAGAGGATGGAAGGATGTTGGAGTGACGCAAAGAATTGTCATTTACTAAAAACATCACATAGCTGCTTTGATATATTTGGACTGGGACTATTTGTCTTCATTAATGTCTTGCCTGTTTGTAAAAGAACAAACACGGAAGGCCTTGGTTACCTCTGCTGAGTCGTGGCAGCGTTTCAGGGCCAGGTTCCTGGGCAACGATCTCTCAGCTCGTGTCTTGCAATTGTTTTCGGACTCGCCTTCCAGAGGTTGGTCCTTCACGATGTAAGTGCAGTTCTCCTCAAAGTCTGCCTCGCTCCATGATGTCATATCAACATCGTGTTTTCCTGGCATCGCTGCAGTGGCACCCACAGTTTGAGCTGACTTCTCTGAGGTTAACATGATTGAGGTACATGAAGAGGCGGCCTATGGAAAATAAAGAAAAATGCTCTTAAATCCATATGATTCTATATCTGATTTTATTATTAAATGCTATTTTGGTTATACAGGGTGGAAGGCAAACCTTTCTTTCATAAAACAGCAGATGCAGAATCGAGTTGAGTTTTGAATGAATCTAAAAGTAGGTCCCAGATTGTGAAGTGTGATATAGAGAAGGAGGCAGTTGTGATGCTGTAGAGAAACTAACCTTCCCGTCTACTGCCAACACCGGACAAACAAACTTCAAAGTGGAACCTTCAAGTTTGCCTCCCTCTGTCCTTTACATCCTGTGACTCAGAATACAACCCCGGGGCTATAACAGAGGTTCCTGTGCACGTCAGCCCCGAAGCAGGACCACTTTCACAAGGAAACCCGCACTACCAGGGAATCAACCAGACTTCCTCCGAACTGACTGAGACTTGGCTGTCGGCCAGGTCTTAACACTCTATACTGACTATTTACCGTATTAAAAAGCCACAGAAGGGCTGCTAGAGTGAGATCTGCCTGATTTCAGTCCACAAAAACCCCATAATATGAAGACACATGTAAAGAAAGAAAAACAAAAAAACCACCAATTGATCAAAAGCACAAAAGCAGTACGTCTGCTCATTGATTGCCAGCCCCGAAGTGGCTCCCTTTCCTAAACAACTGCTCTTACTTGTCGAAACAAAGAAAAGAAGTGCCACTCTACTCTCTGTTTCCTTTTCTTTCTGTCCCTTATATTCACTCTTTCCCTTCTCACGACATTGCGATTGTCAGGCAACTCAGCCGCGACAAAAGATACGGCTCCCAGACTGAAATAAAGAAGAGTGAAAAAGCGGATGGCAGGCTCGTGATTAAAAGGCAACGCTCAGATGTGTTGTCTGAGAACTTCTTCCTTTGTAGACTCATCAGTTTGCCTCTGAGATAGTGGTAGATAAGCCTGGTTCTTGCTAATATATGGTAAACACTCATGTGACTTACGTTCCTTACTGATGAGAGATAAAAAGTCAAGTCAAAACTTCACTCCTGAGGGAATGACTGCAAGGAATAGAAATTCTAAATTCTCCCCATTTATGTATAAATAAATCTACAGTCAGTAAGCTGCGATAAAAAAGCCCACCACTCATCTTTTTGTTGTTTTCAGCACTAGTGGTAGAAACTGTACTCAGTGGCATATATGCAGCAATAACAAAAGAATGTCAACGGATTCTCAAATGCAAATAAAAGTTCAAAGAGACGAGATTTATATATGATGTTACACCTTATTTTTTTTTCTCTGAAGTGTCACCACAGCTGACTCGGAATGACTGTCACAAGTGTGACAGCTCACTCCGAAACCATTGAACCAAGTGACACAGCAGAAAATATATTTTGAAAAATCAAGACATGAGTCAAGAGCACACAGCTGTGGCTCGGGGGCGACATGTAACGGGCTGTCTCTAGAAAGCACACTTTGAGATTGCACTTCGTGGGAGAGTGTCGTAATGCAGAAAAGAAAAGTCGAGCCAAAAACGTCTAACTCTTCTTAAACATGCTGAAAATATAGAAACAATCGATATTATTCCTGTAAAAATTAAGAAGATGATCTGAGACAGATGTTGCAGACTTACTGTAAAGCCTTGTGAGGAGCCACACATAGGTCAGGCTGTCTGTGCCCTTCTTGAGCTTGAGTGTCTAGAAGCAACCAGTGGCTGTTCTCTGCCTCTTGTCTTCTCTTCCTCTCTCTCTCTCTCTCTCTCTCTGAGCAGACCTCAGTATACTGACTGCGCAACCGAGCAGTCAGTGTATGTGAGTCTTGCTCACATACACCGTGTGTGTGTGTTTGACAGTGTAAGAGAGAGAGAGAGATACACTCCCTTTCCTCTCATGCTCCCTCCCCCTCTCTCCCCTTTGCCCCATGACTCCTCCTTGGAGCGTGTTTGTGTGTGTGTGTGCATGTGCATGTGTGTGTGTCACACTCTTGCCCCGAGGCAAGAGGCTTTCTCCAGGGAGGCTGTCACACAGCTATGTCCGGATCAAACAAATGCATCTTCATTTTCGGTCTGTTGTGGATTGGAAGAGGGCATACCTGTGTTATGTTAGCGAGTCAAGGACGCGCAGAGGAAATTAGATCATTTATTTGTAAATTGTAGGTTTAAAGTTAGTCAGATTAGTCGTAATTCATGTAGTCGTGTAATAAGGATATCTTACATGAAGAATGTTGCAGCAACATAGAGATTTAACAACCTGTAAAACTTCATCGTCTGTAATAGTCTTTTAAACGAAGCAATTGTTCTCTAGGTTCTGTAGCTACATAAGATCATCAGTTAAAAAAACATACACAATAAATGCACCAAGATGATTTTTATTACATACCAAGAAATTAAAAATCACTAAATAAACAGCTGTAAGTAGAAATATGTCTGCTTTGCTTGGTTGACTCATTCATATTGATACTTGATGCTTCAGAGCTTTAGATACACAAACCCATGAGATTAATCACAATTCTTGTTATGGTATTATGTCACTGTAATACTAAGAATGATGAAATAGGTACTTCTAATGAGAATCCTGAAAACAAATACACAACGACAGTTTCTGGGTTATTTTGTGCATGCACACCTTATTTGAAATTAAAATGCAAGCTGGTGCAACAAGAAGCAGTGTCACACCTTAGAAATCTTTATAAGCTGCGATAAAGACAAATAAATGGAAAACTCTTGAGGGTGTGTTCTGGTGCATGTACATTTATAATCAGCCACTACACACTACTTCACTGGGGGGGAGGTCCAGAATTTGTTAATGCCCAGGTAAGATTGAGATCTACAGCCCTGTTTTCACCTCCACCTCCGCTCCCTCCTCTTCTTGACTTCTCTCCAAACACAACATTTGATTTGGCCGGCTTCCAGCCAGCTCAGGAACTGTCAGAATTTTCTTTCTCGTCACCCACACGCTAGACACGCGCCACGCTCTGAACCGTCACGCCGTACACCTATCTGTAAACCTAATTCCACACGGCACATTAAACATCTACACTGATCACATTCACTTTCAATTTGGGGAGGTTCATAATGAACTGGCATATGTCAAGTGGATTCTGGCGCTTGTAGACTCTTCTTTGTTTTTGTGGTGTTTTGTCCTTTTCATGCTTCCTGCCCACTCACCACACCTGACCAAGCTACTAATTAGGACTGCTGACATGAGCCACCATGTAATTTAAAATCCACTTCTGTCTCTCACTCTTTCGTTCTCTTTCTTTGCCTTCAGTCATCTCATTCATCACCTTCTATTCAGCTCTCCTCTCCTCCACCTCCTCCTCTTCCTCTCTAATGCCTCTTTATCTGGACCTTCTCTACACTATGTCTATTACTCATAGGTATGTGTGAGTAATTCTCATAATGACAGCATGGACTTCTAGTCTGAGTTGTGTACAGGCCCTGGAGACAAACTTACACGTACGTGTGGAGGTTTTTGAGTATGGTTGTACATATGCCTGTGTAGCTGGTTATAACTTGGTTTAGATCATTTGATAATTGAGATGGCATTCTTAGAATGAAGTCAACGAGCAGGAAGTGTAATGAAATGTAAGCTGCATACAAGTAGACTAACAATAACAAGATCACTGACTGACTTTAACCGGTTTAGGATGTGCTGTAGGAAGTGAAAGTAGACACGTCATGAACCCAAACCAGGGCAATGAGTATTTTGCTAAAGAACAGCCACCCTTAGATTTACATTATCACAATAAACGCTGAGCAGACTGGGATTAAAAGTGCTTTCAGGCAGAAAGTGAAGCAAATGTTTTACTTTCATCATTTGCATGAATTTGGCTTTGCCAAACAGAAGTCAGTGTGCCAACTGTACAGGCATTAGCTCTTAGCTAGCTCACAATGAGCAGCAGGTTTCAATTTGCACCCTCCTGGGAAAACTTGGATCGTTCTGCCTTTGCATTGCCCTTACATGAAATAGCACCAGCTCTAAATTTTGCTTTGCACATTAGATACGTTCAGCTTTTCTGCTGAAGGGGTTAATTAAACCAAAATAGACCACAGCATCTACCCATTTTTTCACATTTTGAGAATTTTTCTCTTTAATCATTGAATTGATTAAATCTCCTGCGGTACATGTAAAAACTATTTTATGATTATAAACCTGCTTTAACACAAGCCAAGAATACCTGTGGGGGAAGGCTCCATTAATGGCATGGGTTGCTCTATAATTTCCATCTGCAATCTGCCTTGGGTTATGTCTCGCAGGAGAACCAAAGGTGACCACTCCTTCCTTGTCACCTCCTGCAAGAATGAGGACAATGCACTTTGGCAGAGATGGCTAGGACTAAGTCCATTTTATAACCCATTACCCCTCAATTGTTCAACAGAGCCTCCCCCTCTGGCTTTTTTTCTGAAGTTTTACGGCTGACTCAAGGAGAAATATTTAGAATTTTATCACAGCTATCTTGCTGTCACTGTCCCCTACTCTGACCTATGTCACCCTGCCTTACTGTGGTGTTATCAGCGTGTCAGCCATGACAGCCTCCTCATCCATTTCATGTTACTTTAAGTGATTTCCTTTACCTCGAAATACCCTATACTCTCGACAGCTTGTGGTTGAGGAAACATTTACTCTCACGTGCATTTCATCCGGTCTTTGACAGTTGATTGAGGCAAGATAAGCTACATCTACATGGCGGTGGTAGCAATGTGAACGCAATGAATGACTTGGGTTTATTTTATTAAATTAGAAATACACGGATGCACGCCGTCTTTTTTTCTTTCCTCTGATCCATTTCATTTGTTAATCTGAAAAAGAAAAAAAAACAAAACCTGACAGCGCTGCGCCACAGCCACCACCCACCCAGTCCAGCAATCTCCCTTCAATTGCTGGATGATCTCCTGTTGACAGGCCAAGGGTTATTATCGTGGTTTCAGGGCCAGGAATGCTACTGCACTTCACAACAGATGTCTTTTCAGATCCTGACAAAGCCACCCACAGAGATGAGGAGAACAGGAAGAAAAAAAATGTATCACTGTACTCAGCTGACCCACAAAAGATGTTCTTAACAGGCTGGATAGTAGAAATTATAGGTGTCTGTATGTTCTTATCCTAACTGGCATCAGAATGTCATGCCAGTCTTGTCATGCATATAGCAATCCTTAGTTCTCTGTAAAAACAGTTTTTTGGGGTTTTAAAAAATTCGATTCACTGTTTATTTTACTGCACATGCTTCCACACAGCATCACATGAGTTTACAGTAACCTGATGGTTGATAATGGAAACTAACATGCTGCTCTGAGAACCAAAGCATTGTGGTTGACCCCTCAAAGTCCTTCCTGAGTATTTTGTCTGAAATGAGGTGTACTTTTTCTCACTCTTTAGTTGTATCATGCCTCTTTATCACCATTACTAATAATTAGGAAACGTTTTGACTCTCTTTAAGGTCCGACTATTACTCTAAAATAGCCACAGCATTTGTTTCTGATCTAAAAAAAAAAGAAAGAAAGAAAGAAAGAAGAAGCAGTTGCTGCATTAAATTTCACTTGAAGCATTGAGTGGGAAAACAAGGGGGGTGCTTACAGACATCTTTAGACAGACAGTTGTACAAGCAAGGAAGTGTCAGACCCCCAGGAGCCACACCTGCCTGTATCAAAAGCCTTTTCACATTGTTTTGTCTTCCTCTTGATTACTAAGCCAGACTGTAATAATGACCAACAGAGGGGCCTGTCATCCGGGAAGGATGCACACAAACTATTACACATACTCACGCAAACACACACACTCTCTTTTTCAACCTATCTGCCCAACCCCAAAGAAAATGGTATGTAGTCAGAATCTCTTAAATATACACAGTAGTGTTATAAAGTCATGTGAAAAACAGTTTACACAATCCTCTGAAAAACTTAGTGCGCACCAAGATTCTTTTAGCTAACCACCTTTAGAAGCTATAACTTGAAGTCATCATTTACTGTATGACTGTCAGTACGTCATTCTCTCACATTGCTGGGGAGGAATTTTAGCGCACTCTTCTTTACAACATTACGTCAATTCATTGAGGTTTGCATTTGTTTATGCACAGCTTTCACCACAGCATTTCATTGAGTTTTAGGTTTGGACTTTGACCAAGCCATTGCAACACCTAGGTTATTCTCTTTTTCAGCCACTGTCTTGTAGGTTTGCCACTGTCACTGTCGGACAGATGGCCTCACATTTCACTCTAGAATTTGGCATACAGAGGGGTTCATGACAGTAAGGTTCCCATGTCCTGTGAATCCTTAATAAGCCAAATCCTCAACCCTTCATCACTGTGCTTCACATTTGATAAGAGATGTCTGCGCTGATATCCTGTCTTTGGTTTGGTTTCCACCAATGGTCAAACATATCTACTTTGGTCTGTTCTAGACATTTTTCCAGAATTGGTTTGTACATATGGAACTTAAGTCATGCTCCAACTTTAGCATTTAGCTTGCTAACTGGGGCCTAAAGAGTCTGAAATTTGACTCTTGGGTTTTTTGGGACATCCACTCCTGGGAAGATTGTAGGATTTTACACTTGAATTCTCCAAACCAACAAACTACCAAAATGTATGCTTTTATAGAGATGCTCACTCTTTTTGATCATCAAAAAACCACTTGAATTTAAATTTGCAGCAACTGCACGCTATTTACGTTTTTGATTCCTATGGAAGTAGATAGTGTGTATGAAGATTTTCACAGGACTCTAGAGAATCCCATAAAAACTCTCTTTTTGACATGTCTTTATGTGTGTTTGTGTATATATATATCTGTTTGTCTATGTCTATATCTATCATATTTTTTGTCTCTAAGGAG